TGCCGAGCCTCAAGGAATTGTGGGAGTTGAAGTCCACCACAGCTGGAGGGCCAAAGGTTCCCGACCCCTGGGCTAGCTCGTATCGGATGCCTATTCAAGTCTTTGTTAGCCTTACCTTTCCCATACCATTTCTTCACCCCAAAGAGGGACCGCTTCTTCCCCGTCGTGGTCAACTGAGAATTGCACATTTGGAAATAAAGCTGTACTGCGCAGGTGCAGGAATTACCAAATGTGCAAATTCAAAGGTGACCACTCAGGGAACTATGGTTACAGGTAAGCAACCCATAATTTCCTCAGCCCGCACCATTCATGTTTCCTGCCTTCAACCCCCCTTGTCTCTCTTGCAGTGAAATATGAACGGATCAAGTTCCTGGTCATCGCGCTCAAGAACTCGGTGGAGGTTTACGCCTGGGCCCCAAAGCCCTACCACAAGTTCATGGCCTTCAAGGTACGAAGGGGGGAAACGCAGGGGGGCTGAAGGAGGGCAGGGGACCGGGGCCCCACGGCCTTTTAAGAAGTAGGTTTTGGTGTTATGGAGGCCCCGGCATCTATGAGGAAGGGAAGAGGCAGGGAATAAGTATCTCCCCTTACGAACCACTGGGGACTTTAAGATCATCTGGGGAGACCCTGCACTCAGTCCCGCCTTTGTCACAAGTACATTTGGCGGGGACGAGAGACAGGGCCTTTTCAGTGTTGGTCCCTCGGCTATGGAACGCCCTCCCTAGGGAATTAGGTCTGCTCTCTCCCTCTTAGCGTTTCGGAGGCAAGTTAAAACATGGCTGTTCGAGCAAGCGTTTACAAATGCAGAGTAGCTGATGTAGGAAATCGAATGATTTGACAGTGGAACTGGACAATGCTTGATAATAATGAGACGCTAATGATGTTCTTTTTATTGCTTTTGTGGTGTTTTATACTGTTTAATGTTTTGATCTATATTATGTTTTTATGTGTACTGATTTGTTGGAAACCGCCTTGAGTCGCCGATTGGCTGAGAAAGGCGGTATACAAATACAATAAATACATAAATCAATAAGGATACTCCCACTTTCAAGGTCTCTGTGTGGCCACCATTAATGCAAAAATTCATGGGTGCAAAATAAAAATGCTTTCGAAAGAAAATGGGCAGAAAAATATGTACGTGGTAAGGATAAAAGATGTAGAGAAGATGTGTCCCCCTCAGATTCTTAAACTTACCGTAAAGGTAATGGTTTTCCCATGACATGAAGTCCAGTCGTGTTTGACTCTGTGGGGTGGTGCTCATCACCATTTCTAAGAGTAAGAGCACGGTGTAGCCAAAATAATTGTAAACGTATGCATTATATATGTTATACAAATAGTCAAGAACATGGACATGAGATGCTTATGTGTATACGTACCAGATGAAATCAAGGGTAAATAATATGCTGAGAAGCTTAAATAACAAAATAGTCTATCTATCTATCTATCTATCTATCTATCTATCTATCTATCTATCTATCTATCTGCAAGTGCCCTGGGAGTCAAGGAAAGAGCAGGCAGAAAGGGCCTACAGCTCTGGGGGGCCCTTGGTCATCAACACCTATTATTATTATTATTATTATTATTATTATTATTATTATTATTATTATTATTATTAGAAACACAGCAAGATGAGTCCACAACAAGCAAGATCACTGCTGGCTGTTGTATTGGGTCACATGCCAGAGACTTCCCAAGTGTCTAGGACCGTGTGATGTATCAGTGAATAACGTGTGTAGATCTGAGTTGGGGGGCCTTTTGCAGCTGGCAGATGGTAATTTTGTCAGTGCCCATTGTGCTTAAGTGCAGGCCAAGGTCTTGAGGCACTGCACCCAGTGTGCCGATCACCACTGGGACCACTTTTACTGGTTTGTGCCAGAGTCTTTGCAGTTCAATATTTAAATCCTCATATTGTGTCATAATAATAATAATATTACTATTATTATCCTTATGGTTATTTATACCCTATTCAAAGCACTTCAGTACAATTTTCAAAATATACAAATACGTAAACATTAAAACAGAATTAAATATCAGTGGTCCATTTTGCCATTTCTCTGCCTATATGTGTCTTTGCTCCTCACCGACCTGCCTTCCCTCCAGTCCTTTGCTGACCTGCCTCACCGGCCGCTGCTGGTAGAGCTGACCGTGGAGGAGGGCCAGCGGCTGAAGGTCATCTACGGCTCCTGCGCCGGCTTCCATGCCATCGACGTGGACTCAGGAAACAACTACGACATCTACATCCCTGTACATGTGAGTTGGGATTTGGCAGCCTCCTTAATAGTGTGTTAGAGCAATAGAAACCGTGCCTTTGCCGCTGAGGGTGGACTGAGCCCGCGCCACTTGTGTCTCCGGCAGATCCAGTCCCAGATCACGCCGCACGCCATCATCTTCCTGCCGAACACGGATGGGATGGAGGTGCTGCTGTGCTACGAGGACGAGGGCGTCTACGTCAACACCTATGGGCGCATCATCAAGGACGTGGTCCTGCAGTGGGGGGAGATGCCCACCTCCGTCGGTGAGGCTGGGAACGATGGTGGTGGGGGGTCAGAGGGGAGAGAGGGGGATCCTTGGAATGGCTGCGGGGGGCAGAGGGACACAACTCTCATTCCCGTAGGATCTACACATAATTAATCTTACTATGTAAATGTACTGTATATACTCGAGTATAGTTTTTTAGCCCCGTTTTTAGGCTGAAAAAATCCCCCTCGGTTTATACTCGAGTCAAGGTTATTTATTATTTTACTCTGTTGTTATTAGTATTTTTATTACATTTATTATTTTACTCTGTTTATTATTATTACATTTATCAATTTACTCTATTATTATTATTACATTTATTATTTTACTTTATTGTTGTTCTTACATTTATTATTTTACTCTATTATTGTTGTTGTTATTGCATTTATTATTTTATTCTATTATTATTGTTATTATTATTGCATTTATTATTTTACTCTATTATTATTATTATTATTATTATTATTATTATTATTATTATTAGTGTTTCTTAACCTTCCTGTGGTGATATTAGTATTTTTATTACATGTATTATTTTACTCTATTTTACTCTATTTATTATTATTACATTCATTATTTCATTGTTGTTATTACAGTTATTATTTTACTCTATTATTATTATACTCGAGTCAAGGTTATTTATTATTTTACTCTATTTATTATTATTACATTTATCAATTTATTATTATTGCAGTCATTATTTTACTTTATTGTTATTACATTTATTATTTTACTCTATTTTTATTATTATTATTATTATTATTATTATTATTATTATTATTATTGCATTTATTATTTTACTCTATCACAGGCATGGGCAAACTTGGGCCCTCCTTCCCAGTGTTTTGAACTCCAACTCCCACAATTCCTAATAGTCAGTAGGTTGTTAAGAATTATGGAAGTTGAAGTCCAAAACACCTGGAGGGCCCAAGTTGGCCCATGCCTGCTCTATTATTACTGTTATTATATTTTCATTATTTTATTCTATTATTATTATTACATTATTATTTTACTTTATTGTTGTTATTACATTTATTATTTTACTCTATTATTATTGTTGTTGTTATTATTGCATTTATTATTTTACACTGTTATTATTATTGTTATTGCATTTATTATTTTACTCAATTACAGGCATGGGCAAACTTGGGCCCTCCCTCCAGGTGTTTTGGATTCCAACTCCCACAATTCCTAACAGCCAAATTGTGGGAGTTGAAGTCCAAAATACCTGGAGGGAGGGCCCAAGTTTGCCCATGCTTGTTCCATTACTACTGTTATTACATTTTCATTATTTTACTCTATTATTATTATTATTATTGCATTTATTATTGTACTATTTTTATTATTATTGGAAGGATACGTCAGCTCATTTACATTGAAGAAGGTTAGAATAATGGTTTAATCAGAGTTGGGCAGTCTTACCTAAAATTACAGTTTTATGCAAATATTCAAAAACATTTCACCTCCTGATGCCTCAATTAATGTCATTTTATTGGTATCTATTTTTATTTTGAAAGTGACCCATAGCGGCCGCCTCTCCCACCCTCGGCTTATACTCGAGGCAATACGTTTTCCCAGTTTTTGTGGTAAAATTAGGTGTCTTGGGTTATATTCGAGTCGGCTTATACTCAAGTATATACGGTATATAGCTATAGTATCAGCCTTGTTGACATTACACATTTTTCTGCTTTAACTCAATGGCCTGTATTTTCACTCTCTCTCTCTGCTTCCTTCCCTCCTTCCTTCCTTCCTTCAATCCATCCATCCATCCATCTATCCATCCATCTCTCCTTCCTTCCTTCCATCCATCCATCCATCTCTCCTTCCATCCATCCATCCATCCATCTCTCCATCCATCCATCCATCCATCTC